TTATCAAAATGAGGCTACATGATACAATTATCAAAGAATACGCATGCACATCTTATCGTGTGTTGCTATGCGACTTGAACATGTCATATCATGGAATACAACGTACACATATCGTCAGTACCAGAGGATATGAATCACGTACTTGGGGATGATAATACATACAGTGAAGGTACAACAAAACGAAAATCAAGTAAGTTTGAGTACGTGTCGACACACAGTAATCTAAAATGTTGTTATTTACTTTCCTCGCCTTGCATTTGATACCCGGGCTCTTCAATGCTTTTTGGGAGAACATCGAGGCATCTACCTAAAATTATCAATCACGGTTAACCTACATAGAATAAATCAGTATAAATATTACACACTTCTAGGGCTTGTAGGTCGTAAATGAATAGGTCATAATTTTTTCCCATGAATAGGTCGTAAATTTCATATAACGTACACATATGACATCTGCCTCTGATTGTTAGGCAACTCTCTAATCGCCCGCATTAGGCAGGTTCACGAATAATCTCTTTGATTCCGTCAGATGCCTTCGAACTTCGAGAGTTTGGCTAGCGATCTGCCGAACAGTAGTGCATGTGGAGTTGCCTAACAAATAACTGCCATTTTATAATCTCACATGCTCATTTAGATAATATGCAAACCAAGTCTAATATGTTTACGATTGTCTGTCTGGGCTAAACTCTGGGATGACTAACCGACTTCGATGTGATTTTCACTGTAAGGTGGAGTGTTTGAGCGAACATAACTTAAGCTTCTCAAATACATTGAAGAATCAAAGAACAGGTACAACCACGCATATTGAAATAAAGAGATGTGGAACCAAACTGAATACGGCACTCCGGTCGGCAACGACTATATAAGACAACCAGAGTCTGGCACATTTGTTAGATCAGTTTCTGCTACAATCGCATGTTATCACGATTTAAGTGGGTTTGAACGTGGTGTTAGAGTCGGAGCGATAGGCAGAGAGATGGGACATAGCATCTCCGAGGTCGCAATGAAATTTGGATTTTCCCATACAACCATTTCAAGAGTGTACCGTGAATAACGGGAATCCGGTAAAACATCAAACCTCCGGCATCACTGCGGCTGCAAAAAGATCGTGAAAGAACGGGACAGACAACTACTGAGGAGAAGCATTACACGTGACAGAAGTGCAACCCTTCCGCAAATTGCTGCAGATTTCAATGCTGGGCCATCAACAACGTACCATTCAACGAGACATTATCGATATGGGGTTTCGGAACAGAAGGCTAGGGATCACATTCTTTCATTTAAAGGAAAAATAAATACAATACGTTCAGTAGAAAGTCCAAAAGAATCCATGGCAGAATACCTTATTTTTAAATATATAGTTTTTTTACTCATTTACATTTTTATTCCAGAATTCATGAAATTTGGAAATCGTGATCAACAAAACGAGAAAAGTTACCGTCTGCTTGAGATTTCGTAAAAATTACCCTATCCTCTTCCTACACCTTACAGCAAAATAATTAAGTGTGCACTTTCAATTTTTTGTTAATATTCCGAAAAAAATTAGGAAATCCTCCAAAAATTAATTTTTTCTTGAATCCCTTAATTTCGTACTAAATGTGTTTTTCCATCATTTCAATGGCGTCATTATGCTCTTAGTAATTCTCGGTCAAAATTGTTACCGGAAGTTGGCCGGAAGTATGCAGCAAAACATTGGTTTACACGGTTTGACTGCTCGATAGTGGTAGCAACGTTGATCGTAGCGTTGTCGTGAGGATCGTAGCGTCCATGGATGTATTGGAAGAGACACTTCCCTTTCAATTTGGGAACAAGATACTTACATTTGGAAATCGTAACTTAACTATCATCAGACATTTTACTTTCATTGCCAATTTATCCCACAAGTAGGTCTGTCACCATTCTGATAGTCAATTTTCTCTGGCGGTTTACTCTAGAAATAGTAACAGTGTAGCGCGTACCGCAGCACAGTAACCAAACGAACCAATCCCAACAGATAAGATCAAGGTCTGCTGCGGAAACGCTTCCTTAATACTCCCGAGCACCGCCAGCAATGAAGAATTTGAAATATAGACAAAAGCAAAGTAGATTATCTCCTATTGCTAAGTATTTTTTTGAAAACTTGTGCGTTCGTAAGTTCGTAAAAATATTTGAAGGGAAGTGCCGGAATATAGGCGAAGTTGTATTTTGTCATTGAAAAGAAGTGCAGAATGCAGGCCAAGTGAATCTGAGAACTATATGTATGAAAAAACCTTGGGAGGGAGGGTTCCTCCGAGCGATTACGTACGTTTGGCAAAATATGCAGCCTCAATAACTACATACCCATGGATCATTATTAGGCATCGGATGTTTTGGAAAGACCCTATTTATCGTGATGAGTGTATTCAAATCAAAGGCTCATGGTAATATGTGGACGCACTACTTTTATTTTCGCATTTCTACTTTCTCGCGTATTGCTTACGCAGTACACACAGTTTTGTGATGTTGAGAAAAAACAGCGATTATTTGACAGAAAAAACTCATTCCGGGCCCTCGTAACGAAAAAATGGATAAATCTTGTTCTTGAATGTAGTGAATTACTTCATCTAACACGTTTCTAGTCAGAATCCATGTTTTATGTGTTCTTGAGTCCGAAATATTGGCAGATGAAAAAACCTCAGTCTGTGAGTCTGTAGTCAGCGCGAGCGCCAAAACCGTTCAGACTATTTTCTCCAAAATTATTGTTCTAAATATTATTAAAATTGATATGTTCTTCAAAATTGATAATCGATCTGAACGAACTTGGGGCCGAGTTTCAAACGCATATATTATTTTTGAGGGCACTTCATATGAAGTGAGAGCGTAAGCTTCCGCGGCCGGAGTCAGTATTTACTAGGCTGTCCGGGTGACGCCGCGTCCATGGCGAAGCATTTCGCATTACGCCCTGAGGAAGGTCGCAGAATGACGACCGAAACGTCGCCACCTTCGCCATGGACGCGGCGACACCCGGACAGCCTAGTAAATACTTCATATGAAGTTTCCATTTCAAAATTTCCTCAAAAATAGCTCCAATTTTTTCGGTTTAACTTTGTCTTCGGGTAGCGTAATGAACTATTAAAGATGGCTCGTCATTTTAGTTTATATCCCCGGTTTTTTGAAAATCGTAAATGTTCAAAAATGTTCGGTATCTCTACAATATTCAAGACATTTTTTAGTGAAATTCATTTTCAAAGACAGATATTGAAATAAGGCCATATTCAATGTTTGGAAAATATAAGAAACTTTCGCGTAACTTTGCATGAAATGTAGACAATTTTAAACAATTATTTTCTCAAAAACTACTCCAAACTTTTTCTATCTTCTTGTCAGCTCGCACGTATAAAAATGAGGATATTGATGATGGTCTCATTTTTGGCGAACACTCTGAATAATCGAAAATTGCAAAATGTTAACATTGCAAAAGTACAACATTGAAGATTGAGTTTTTTACTTAATGAAATGTATTCTTCAAAATTAGATCTTTAAGTAAAATAATGTACATTTCTTTAAATATGAGCAATTTGTGTGTGTGTGTGTGTGTGTGTGTGTGTGTGTGTGTGTGTGTGTGTGTGTGTGTGTGTGTGTTTTCGAAATTGCAGATTCTAATTTTTCGCACTTCTGTTGCGAGCATCTATCAGGAGTTTTCAGATTATGATACAACAAAGGGAACGGCGCGAAATGCCAAGTTTCACGTTCTCAGTATTTCGCGGTGTTTCTGACGAAATTTTCGTTTTTCGAAAAATCAGTGATTTCAACGAAAACGAGACTCGCTCCATTGTTTTAGAGTACTTTACGCTATGGATGGGAGAAGTTGAATTACAAATTTTGGAGCCCTTTTTAAGAAAAAATTGAAAAATTGACTTTCGGTAAAGTACCTCAAAAAATTACAAGTCCTCAAGTTCCTTAAATTTTAGTCAAAAAACAGTAAAAACTGTATGTGATTTAGGTAGAAAATTATCTTCCTTCAAGTCGATCGAGGAATATCAATTTTGGAGAAAACCGTTTGAACGGTTTAGGCGCTAGCGTTGATTACACACAAACGAACGGACAGACAGATAAAACGTTACGCCGTCAATCTATTTATCGGTAACAAGGATCCACAAAACAGAGGTTCGGACTACACGACGTGTTAGAGGAAACAATTTACTACTTATTACAAGATTCATCCACTTTATCTTTACAAGGCCCGACAGTATTTCTGTCGAAAAATATAATACTATACTTTCTCTGACGAAAAATATAACATTATACTTTTTCTTCTTAAGAAGCAAGAAAATGAATTTACATATAGAATAAAATGAATTTACCTTCTCAGTTAATATTATACTTTCTTTTTACCCTTCCGTAGTTGGTGAGATGAGAAGTACTTGGTAAAAAAGTATGCTTATCTGTATGTCTGTGTAACAATATTTGAAGTGACATTTATATTATTCTGCAATGAATACGTGAGTGCTTTTTTGTACTCACACTATTGCAGCTTTAATTATTATTTATTTATTTTATAGGAAAACTGTGTTCCAGAAATTTTAGAAGGTATCGCCACACTTCGCCGGAACTGAGAACGAGATCAACAATAGTGGTTTCGGAGTCAAAACATTTGAAAGCAACACCCCTTTAGAAAATATTTATTAGATGCTTGAAACAATTTTTGTACAAAATATCACCGAATACTCAAACAACTAAAGAACATGACAAAACTAGTGATTCACTTGAAAGCAATATAGTATAGAGAATAAAGAGGTATGTTCAAACAAAAGATATCCGTGAAGTTACTAATAGATACCACTGCTTTTAGTGAAAAATTCACATCATAATAGTAAAATTTGATTTCTGGATTTTATATGGTGAAAAACATCGGGTCTCAGTCGACAGCAAATAAATTTAAAAAAAAAGGAATTGCCTTGGAACTTGTGCAGGAAAAATCACATTTTTGAAAACAATAGAGGCGGTAACTTCTTCCGATCTCCACTTCTGAAGACAGCAAGCAGTGATCGCCGTTCTCCAGTAACGGAGGCTCGTAATCTTCTGACTGAGCTCTAGAAAACGTGATGTCCGCCATCAAATGAGCCCGTAGCGGCGGAGGGGGAACCTCGCTCGCTATAAAAACGGGTCGCGCACGTACCACGGCAGTCACTCGCTGACCGGAGAGCAGGGAAGTTCTGTTGCACTTCGTTCGTTTCTTGTCTGTGGTGAGTTGCGACAAGCGCCATTCGAACGAGCAATTGAAGTTTAATTGTTGAAAGAGTGCGTCTTCTCCGTTCAACTACTCGTTTCGACGTATGTTTGAACTCGCAGGAAGTTAGCAGACAACCGAAACGACGATTACGGAATAAGACGCCAGTGAACAATTTGTGTTTGGTGACCGTGATTTGGTTGTCGTATAGAGGAAAATTCACCAAAATGTGTATCCCATCTCGCGCTGATGAGAGGAATGCCGTTGAAGTGCGGTCAGGGTTGGATCAACAACAAATTAGGAACCAGAAGAAGAAAGCAATTCAAGAACATCAAGCCATCATGAAAAATGATCCTGCATTGGCTGAAGTAGCATCAAAAGCAAATTATCACATCAAACAAGATATATTGGCCATATCCACGGCATACTACAAATTAGTTCTAAATGCCTTGTCAGATTTGGCTACCAAGTTCCAAGATTCAAAAATGTACAGGTCAGTAGTAGTTTTATTGGTATCATATTATTGCATGGAATTTACATCAGAAAATGTGGTAGGGTAGGGCCGTGCAGATGTTTTAAGATACTCCCTTCGTTTTAGTCTTCTTCTAAGAAAGCGGAATATAATAGATACAGTAATTAAATTTGTTCAAAGAATTGTCTCTCGGACTGGGATTTGAACCCGAGTCTTCTGGTCCAACTAGGTTACAAGGTTGTGACATTTATAAATAGATACATTGTTTTTGTAATTTTTATTATGCTGATGACGGATACTAGACTCGGTGTCTAAAAACCATATATAAAATTTTTCGAAGTATTGGAATTTTCTATAGTGTAGGAAAGTCATCGTTGGTACTTGAAGACGAATGAGGGTGGTGTATTTGTATTCCCGCTCTCGTTCATCGTATTATTTGATTGGATGCTGGTGCAGAGGTCACACGGTTGCGCGGTCAAATATTTCGAATCAATTTTACGCATTGAAAAGTTAGTATTGCATTGAAGGAATAATCGGAGTGAGCATTTTTATTATGTTGATTGATATGTAAAATATGAGGTTTTGTACTATTTTTAAGGGTTTAAAAAAATTCAGGGCATCTTTTATCAACAACAATAAATAACATCAAAACTAAAAATGGAATACTCACATCGTATTTCAATTAAAAACTCTTATTTAAATTAAAGTCAAGATTACAGAATCTATGCTCTCATCTCTAAATACTATTTTAATATTTGTGATGTTGTTTTTGAAAAATAAATAACATTAATGTTTCATGTAGTCCTTATATTGTTCTGTTTACAAGGATATTGGTACCAATACACATTTCTCTTGTGTTTACAGGATTGTCTTCTGCACCACACAGCCTGCACATGTTGTAACACTTATTGCTGTTATGACTGTTGCCACTCTTATTGTCCCTGGGGAAAAGCCTGATGACTGTGTAGCAAGCAAATCTGTCAAGCCATCTCCCTTCTTTTACTTGGTGTATTTGGCCTCCTTCATGATGCATTTCGGTGCTCAGATGTGGATGACTTTTGTGTCAGGTTTGTAATATTCTTTTTTATTTCATACTGCTCAATTATTCTTGGATCCTACTTGTCTTCAAAATATAATATTTTTTTTCAATTCATTTCTAGGACTCTCTTTGTATTTTGCTGTTCCTCGTCATACATTTGGAGAAGTTCAGAAAGTTTTGTTTCCTAAGTACTTTGGAATCAACAGTGTTTTGAGCTTATTGACAATTGTTATGTTTGTGAAGCTCCATCCCAGTTCATCTTGGGATTTATACACTGGAGTACAGGTTAGTCAATAACATACAGCTTAAAATTATTTTATTTATGAACTGAATACATATAAAAAGTTTTTAAAAAGAACATCACCACAAAGTCAAAATAGTTCTCCTTTCAACTCCAATGCTATAACTGTAAATTTTGTAATGCCATCATATCAGCTAAACACTATTTAGTTGGCAATTAAATGCTTTTCAATTAACTATTTAAAATGCCTATTTTTTTAAATAAGATTTTGAGTGGGAAAAAATTATTTTATTTTATTTTTTGTCATGGTTTAGGTTGGCTGCATGGCCTTCTGCTTCTTATTGGAGCTGATCTTACGCCTGTACTTCGCTCCTCCCCTTCTGAGTTTGATTGCTTCCAAGAATGCAATGGAGAAAGCTGCAGGAGTTGGACTGGAAGTTGGAAAATATGACCCAGGTCCATTGGCTCACTGTCCTCATTACCTGAAGATTCACAAGGCCTTTAGAAAGGTCCACATGATCATTGCCATGGGCAATCTGGTCACCATGGCTTGCACAGCTGTTCATCTTCATTACCTGTCTGAAAAAATTTGTAATGCTCTCATATGAGTATGCCTACCTATATTTAATTATAATTTAATAGATCTGATTATTCATTTTTCTCATCATGCATTATACATCTCATATTAAATGTCTCACAATAATAATCTTGCCATATCATCATATATCACAATAAATTTTCAATTTGGTTTCCACCAAATTTAATAATATATGAAGTTGGTTCTCATAGAACTCTAAATAACATACAATCCAATGTGTAAAGTACAAATGGCATGAAAATGTTGAATAAATCTGATTAGTGCTAGTGAGAATGATTAATTGGCCTTTGTGTGCTTCATAATTAATTTACCAACTGTAAAATATTATTTATTCACATTAATTATTACTTGCTACTAAGAGTGAAACTGTTTTTTCAGTGATAAAGACAAAAAGACTGTGAACTCCTAAAATCAGTTTGCCCTAAATGCTCTCTTTAAGGGATGAAGTCTGTCTTTAAAATAATCCCTAAATCTTTTCGCTTTGTTGTTCCAGAAATATTGATGAAATAAGGTTTAAATACACGTGTTCTCGACAATGATAATTTGCCATCTGTACTTCTACACAGCAATCTCAGTTTCATGAACATGAGATAAAAATGAGATAGAGAATGTAGCTGTATATTTCATATTCATACAAAATAAATTTGTGTGACTACGTGAGAGTAAATCTTAGAGTAGCTGATGCATATCCTCTTATGAAATTTGAGGTGTCGTCAACAAAATTTCCATTGTGTTTATAGCTGAAGAGCTGACAGTGTAGAGATGACACATTGTTGAATTTGAATGAAAGTAATATTGTGCAAAATTTAATCTTCCCTTTTGAATATATAATGTTCATTTATGTTAAGAATAATTATACATAAGCTGTCAAATTTTTTTTTTTTGTTAGCTCTTCAGCTTTTACTTTATGCTGATATCTAGTCCTTACATTACTTTTTCATGTGGTTATGTGTGTTTCTGTTGTGTGAGTGCAGAAAATACTGAACACTCTCTTAACTTATTTTCATAATTTGCCAGTATTATTTGCACATTAATTTAAACATTTTTTACTGAATATGAAAATAATTGTGAATTGTAATTCATTATGAAAAAGAAATTGTTCTATAAACAGAAAATTTTTAAATGGCTAATTTTAATTTCTCCTTTTACCTTCCAAACCACCATCCAAACAATCATAAGGTTGTTTTATTTTTCTATCAATAGAAATGTTTAAATTTCCTTTTTCAGATGATACATAATTTTGACCCCTTTGAATATATTAAAATAATTTATCGCTATTTTCTTCTGTCAAATTGATTTTGTTTCTTTTATTTATCTTGCATGCTCAACTACTTGGTTCTTGTAAGTTCAAAAACATAATGACTTACATTTCTGTTTCTCTTGTCAAAACCGAATAATTCATTTCAGTTGTAATGCTAAGTAATTAATTTTTAGTTTGAAATAACTGCACACGAGAACTGAAATGTGCAATTACTATGCTGTCTTTCTTAAATTTATATTAATTTAGTGATATTCAAGCTACATTCAATATTTCAATTCTCTGTTCTGAGGCATTTTATCCTAACACAAACATACTTATCCCTAACACTTCTAATTATTATCCAAAATAAAATGTATTTAGACCTTTTTGTAAATACTGCTTTAAATAATAGTGGAACAGGTATGATAAGAGACATTCTCATGTCTATTCTTTGGTAGACTACTCTGCGAGATTTATAACATTTAACTATGAGAACCTGAATTATCTTTTTTATGTGTTTGTGCAGATAGCATTGGGAAAACTAAACTACAAATAAGGAACAAAATCCAATTTTTTCTATAAAATTCTAAAAATGTTTGCTTCCTATTTAAAAGTCACTTACTGCAACCCTTAGTCATCCTCCTTTATATGGTGTTTCAAAATAATTTCCATTAAAAAACTATTCAGAGAACACAGTAATATTTTACACAAATGAGTAACCTGATTAAGGAAATCAATTTAGATTCCTCTCATTTCCTTATATCATATTTATGTTCTTATTTTTATCAGCATAATGAATGTTCTTAATCCTAGTATCCCTATTTTCCTTCACTTTCGCGCGCTTAAGAAAGAACTTCTCAAGAAGAGAAAGTTATGAAATGCTGCGCGAGAAAATGGCGAATTTTCGGCGGAAAAACTCTTATTACACGGTCCTGTTAACGAAAAAGTGGATAAACCCGGTTGCTAAATTTAGGGGGGAAACTCTCTAACATGTGTAGCCAGAATCCATGTTATGTGGGTTCTTGATAGCGAAAAATCGATTCAGTCAAAACGTCTGTCCGTCTGTGAACAACGCTAGCGGCTAAATCGTTCAGCCGATTTTCTCAAAATTGATATTCCCAATCGATCTGGCTGATGTCGCGGCCCCTTGAAATTAAAACCGACATTCCAATTGAAAGGTGGTACTGTAAATAAAACCCTGGGACGGTTTGCAAATTTTAAAAGAAATAACTTCATCGTTTTTTATTAAAGTTTGTTGTTGGATAGTATAAAGGAGGTTTTAGAGAATGGTGCAGGTCTCATGTCCGATGAAAACCCTGATTTTCCAAAAATTGCAGAAGTTCAGAATTTTTTCGGCGTCTTCCTACTAGCTAGGAAGATATATCTTTTTGCTTAATGAAATCTGTTTCTTAAAGATACATTTTGAAATAAGGTCATGTACAATTTTTCGAAAATTTGAGTACTTATCGCGTAATTTTGCGTGAAAATACGGGCGAGAAAGTACGTGCTGTTGTATTAGTTTTCTACAGGGGAAATCCACACTTCACAACAGTTCTGACCTCTTAGATTTAAACCGTTGTATATATCCATTCAGAAGTCCGTGATTCTAGACTCTTGTAGCATTGTCCAAAGAAAACTTGGAAAACATGATGTGCAAAAGACAGTAAATGGTCTTGCATTCTTAGCCCGAACAAGCCCAGAGTAGGACGTTTGCCTCCAAGGGAATGAAATAAAAATATATTATCACATTATAATTTCGATTATTTTGTGGGAGGATTTGAGACAATTATTGATAATGAGAAATCTTAATTTAATTCGTCAGGTATTTACTCAGAATTTTGTCCATGAACACTATTTTAAACTTTGAATTTCGCGGTTCAGATGTAGTGGGATGTTCCAATTGAAACGGCGGGAAAGGTTCGGAAAGAAACCAATCGCTCAGTTGCCAGTACAATTAGAACGGCGTTTTGGCAGTGGCGGAACAAGAGGGAGGGGGCATGCATCCCCACCAAAAAAGCCCCAGAGTTTTCGTTTGTACTGTTTCTTACGAGTGTTTACAGCTCTTGTGGCCGTCCCTCGCAATTCCAATCTCTTGATCTTCAATCGTGGCGCGGAGCACCTAAAGAAAACCAGGAGCCCCTCATTTCAAATAAAACTTTCCCTCCTCCCCAATTCATTTCTACATGCATCAGAAATAACTTATAGCATTAAATTATATTAGTGATGAATACATTATTTATTTCTTTTGAATTTGGGGCCTGGGGCAAGTTGTCCCACCTGCACTGCGAGAGCACCTTCTGGTGCTCTCGCTACACTTGCAGTTTACTCCCCCCAAGAGACTAGTTAGAGGCTTCTCCCGGCTCGGACGGTGCTCCGCTGGTAGGAAATACCTGGTTAGGGAACACCTTGCTAGCCCACGTGTAGGTAGGCGCCGGATCTTGCCATCCAGCTAGGGAAGACGGGACAACTATCGTGGCGCATCTCCGCCGTGGGGCTTCATTTAAAGTACGAATACTCATTAATGCTATCTTTAAAAAACATGATGTAAATATAAACTATGTCAGTTTGATTTAAAACTAATGGAGCTACAACAGCGTATTCTCACTTTTTTGGTTACTTTAAACATTTTTTGAACATTCAGAATTGATAGAAAGTAAGACCTATGCCATTTTTTAAGCATTCTTTTTGCTCTTTCGTAGAAAAATAATTAGAAAAATGGTATTTTTGAGATTTCTTTTTTTATAAATGACCTTTTCATCAAACAAATCTTACCTCACTACTATAATTCATATTTTAAAAAAACATTCTATTTTCATCATCCTTTTGCAAAAATGTTCCTAAATTTTAGGAAATTTTGAAAATAAGAGTTAAACTATGCCAATTTTTGAAAGTTTGGTTGAAAGAAAGCAGGACCTGTACCGTTTTTACAAACATACAATTTAACTCTATTTGAGACATAAATATAAAGAGAAAATTGAGTGAGTAGTTTTCCTTTTGAGTGAGAGAATATCGAGTGAGCAAAAACCTTTTGAAACTGCTATATTTCTCTAAAAGTGTCATCCAAACTACTAGTATTTTCAAAAAATGTACTTAACATTAATTAAATATCTAACTTAAAAATACTAATGTTCACAGATGGACGGATGGAAATAAAATCTTAATTGTTTGGACTGTAACTTCCGAACAAAAGTGAAATGAAAAGTGAACACAGCAGTAAAAATTATTTTTCCTAATCATGAAATTCTTAATTTATGCCTAATCCTTGTCCTTTAGTATGATTTGTCTGAATAAGCATTATTAAAGCTATCCTGGTGTGATGAACCATCATTAAAATGGCAATATCCTATATCTTATCATAAAATATTTCATCACCATGTGGCTCCGAGCTCCAATAAATGGAAATCCATCACTTGGAAAATTTATTGATACAGCCCTGGACACTTCCTTTCTAAAAGCTTCAACAAATGTTTCCACAATTGCCATGATGGACCACCCAAGCTATCTGGTGAGTGCCAAGCCGGAGGTCCATCCCCGACTACTACAAGGAGCACAGCCAAAGAAAATGACATCAATGACATGCCCCGTGCCACTGTTGCTGCTGAGGAAGCAATGGATGAATGGAGCAACGTGGTAAGCAGCCACCACCATCCAATCGTCAGTAACTTATCTCTCCACCCCTTCTTTCTAGTGTTTATCATTTCTCTCCTTCCCAGTCTCTCCCTGCATAAGGCAGTCAATAAATATTATTCAAACTTGTTCACATTTGACACCTCATCACCCCTTTCCATTCCCAATGCATAATAAACTACCCCAGTACTCCATAAACCAAATTCATCTCCCTGTGAATATGTTGTAACCGATCAGCTCCTGGGACAGCATATCACATCAATTTGTAAAACAACTTTCATCTTGGCAGAAAAAATATAAATTTTTTCATATTTTGCATTATGACTGCACTTCTTACAACTGTAATGTAAGAGTAATAATTAACGAAGATTATTTTGTGTGAATCAGTAAAACTAAATTGTGGGGACCTCTTAATTATTTACGGTTAGTTATGGTCTTGAGATATGAAATCGTAACACACCATTGGTTGGTTGTAAAAGTTTCTCAACTATCCTTCCAAGCATGACTTCTTGCATTAGATGACATTTACAGCTCCATTAATACCATTTGTTTATCCAAAATAGCTACTCTAGTATAAATGTTTGCATATATACAAAATAAGAATAGTTATTACAAAGAATGATGAATTTTGATTATTTTTGCAGAGAGAAAGAAACAGAAAACACAAAAGAAGTAAAAATTTGGGCAAAAAGGTGAAACTTCATTTGTAACATTAGTTCAAATTTCATTACAGTGAAATCATATAACCCAAAAGTGAATTGATTGGAATATCAAATATTTTCATTAATCTAAGATTTTTGTTATATTAATGTTTCTTATAACATTTCACTGAATATTCTAAGCAATCCTTTTATTTCCACATTTCATAGACAAGAGACAAGGAGGATTGTGACTTAAAGGAGAATTTTATTTCTGAAATAGCCTAACGAGGAGAAACAACAGATTCATGAAATTATAAAAATGTGAAATTTCAAAGAAAAGAAAAGAGGAGCAGGATAGATATTAAATAAAAGAAAGTGTTCTCTTATCACAAGTTATTAATGATAAATTTTCAAATATCGCAAAATAATGGTGTAAATGGGAATGCATTTAAAAGATATCTTCAAATAAGCTGTGAAAAAAGAATTTTAGCATGCAGATAATTAAAGAATTAAGGCAATGAAATATTTTTCTTTTTACGTGAGAGGCATTCACTTCAGAAAATTTTTGTAACAATATTACAATAGTAAGTGATGTACCAATTTATTTGTTACTGTATCAGGCAAAACTTGCAAGTTCATAGACTTGTATACAAATTACCAAACTGCTCAAAGCCCTAAAAATAAAAAGTCAGTTCCTGCAAATTTTCCACACAGCGACAAATTTTCAAATTTAAACATGCTACAATCAATACAGTAAGAATACAACACTCAACTGGAGGCTCAAAGGCATTATACATAAATATCGATTTCAATACTTAACCCATGAGCAACAGACAAAAATGTTTACTACTTAATGAGCATTCCGGCAACTCTCTCATTTATATGTACAAAGAACATTTCACAAATCATTCCATTAAAACCACAAACATATTTGCATGAGCCACTAGAATAAGACTGAAGTGGGTTCACACTGCACCAAATTGTAAGAGTAGCAAATCAAAATAGTCACTGTCCACTAGGACACTAGAATATTTTTGGACACAAAAATGGGTTGAGGCCTCAACATAAAATTAAGAGTATTAGAAATAATGTTAATGGTATCTATTAACACAAAAAGACAATCAAGCATGTACTTTTATATTACATAGTTCAATTTCACTTCATTTACAAACTTTCACAGTAAGATTTTCATCACAACTGTTGAAAATAGTCTTGGGTTATTTCTCTCACAGTGGTTAAATGGAACCAGAAGTCATTGGCAATTGAACCAATTACTGCATCTGAGAGAATTGCTGCAATGTTAATATCTCCCAGAAATTTTCACCATTGCTCAGCTGAGGTCCATGAGGGCTGAATCCTGGGAGGGCCCTGTGGAATCCTTTTGAATCGAATCAAAGATCAGCTGCAGCTCAGGGGTTGACTTAATCTGGGATACAAATTCACTTAGATGTGGATTCTTGTCTGAAAAAGAAGAGAATGAGATACAAATGAGTAACTTAATCCCAATCAAATTAATTGTTTAATGAGCTCATGTCACACTTTTTACATTTCACCATTCCATTTTACAGCAAGCAATGCAATACTTCTCTGTTAATTTATTCACTCCTGTTTTGAAATTTTGTTGAAACCCCATTTTTACTTTCCTGCCATTTACATAATTTTCCACTGTTCTTGGGTATTTCAACACTTTCTTCTGTCATTAACAACTGACATGAATGATAATTTCCACATTTTACTTTTCTCACCTTGCAAAACTGACTTTAAAATTTATTTCATTGGAAGTAGTAGTTGTCCATATCTACTTCCATCCCTAGTATTAATTGCTGTGACAATCAGCAAAGGAACTTTGACTCTGTCTCGACACTGAACATAGTAGATAAAAAAGCAAAAACCTTGAAATATAAAGCAGAAAGAGTTCATGGCCAAAACTACAGAAATAAATATTTAATACAGTTGCAGAAAGGCGGCGGCAGCAACAAGCAACTACTTTATATTTTTTCCAAAAGTTTAATTTGAGCGGAAAATTAAAAATGGGATAAATAGATTTCTAAAATGTATTAAATAAACAGTTATCCACATACAAAAAACTCCTTTTTTTAAACTTTTCAGGGGACTGGAAGAAAAACATGTAAAATGCAGGAAAGTTTACAATTGATAGGCTAGGAGAGTTTTTTCATTATTTACTAGAATGATGACTGCTTTTACTTTCTCGCATTTAACCCGCAACAACAGAAACTATTATAGTTCGACAAAAAACAAACAAACAACAACTTATTAACGGGCCTTGGTAACGAAAAAGTGGATAAATCATGTTCTTGAATATAGTAAATTAATACATCTAACATGTGGTGTAGCCAGAATCTATGTTTTGTGCCTCCTTGAAACTGGAAAGCTATTGATTCCAAAACTCCTGTCTGTCTATGGTCAATGTTAGCGCCAAAACCATTCAGCCAATTTTCTCCAAAATTGATATTCCCCAATTGACCTAAACGAACTCTAGGCTCTGCGAGTTTGCTACATGTAAATGCAAAACATATGTATTAATTTACTACATATTGGTGCAGGATTTATCCATTTCTCTTTATCAATACGAGTTTTTCTGGATAAAAATCAGTTTTTGGCCACAACATTACATAACTCTCACTGCACTACATATATTTCTCCATATAATTCATGAGAAAGAAAAAAATTAAGAGAAAAAAAAAATAATGTAACAGACAGGAAGCACTTTTTACATCAAATTGTAAATTGAGGGAAGAGAATGCATTGAAAATACATTGGAGCTACAACAGCTCATACACAATATTATTTCATGATATATATTGGGAATGGATTAGGCATTAGTATTCACTGTGAACCAATGGACACATGTTTTGCCATCAATTAATTTTTCGGTATCAAGGGCCTACAAAACATTGATTCTGACTACAAAATGTGATAAGAGGAAGAATCGTATTTACCCTAATATAAGATGACCCCCATGAGGCATCCTGAGAATTTTTTTCATTTTTAAGGTAGTAATAAAAATAAGAACTAGAAAAAGTAATAATGACTAGAAAAATTATATTAAAAATCTAAGTTTTATCTGTGCAACTGCTGTTTTCTTCTTCTCCGTCGTCGTCATCATGCAGCAGCAGCAGCAGCAGCATCATTGACGTCACTCTTTACTTTGCTCCTTCTTCACTTGAATTTTTTTCTTCCTGATCCTCTCGCAATACGTCACCTTCTGAGCCATACATTAGATATGCAGCACTTTTCGAAATCCTTCACAAGAGATTCACTGGAGATCCTATTTGAAAAAGTAGCTATCCATTCTTCCAACTTGTATACCTTCTTAATTTCCCTTCAGGAGTACAGTCATAGTTTCCTTGAAAAAGTCAGTCATTAAAGAATTATCGTAGATGGTCTTTTAATTGTTTGTTAACAACATGCATTAGTTGAAGTTAAGCTGCCATCACACCACAAATTATTACTAGGTCTGTGTTATTTTTTAATGTCAGTTCCCTAACTTCTTACTTGATGTGTCCCTTGAATGTATCTAGTGCCAGCATTGCATTCTTTTCAAGCAAATAGCTTGGCATTGTATTCCAAACAACCTTCAAACTATCAAGTATCAGATTGTTGGTAATCCACCCTTTCTCTTGCCACTGGAAAACAAGCCCTGTTGGTATTCTTTTCCTGTGTAGAACCACACATGGAGGCAGCTTCCTGCTGTCAGTAAGAGCATTCAACATACGTGTGACTTTGGGCTTTTCATTGCCAGTGCTTCTGATGACAACTCTTGTAGCACCCTTGGTTTCAAATGTTATTTTTGACAGCATGTAAAAATAAACAGACATCTTGTCAGCATTCCCCTGTCAGCTTTGACAGAGCAGATAGCCATGTTCTTTCTGTAATTTGAGAATATGATGCTGAAAATCGATTCATTTTTCAAAAGCTGCTGGAAATCACCGAGCTAGCATTGATCTTAGCCATAACAACAACAGACTAGCTTTTTACATCATCCAGCCCATAGTAGCATTGAAATTTTCATCTTGTAGAAGATTCTTCTTTATTTCAAGTGTCTTGATTCAGGTAATTTCTTGACAGAAAGGGAAACCTTCATCGTTTCTCTCACAGGTACTCCACAACTTGCTGCACATGTTGAATTTGCATCTTCTAATTTGTCTTTCATCTGACACCACTAAGAACATTTCTTTCAGTGACACCCAATTTTCTTCCAGCTGCATTGTGGTTAGTGGTCTCAGCTTCTTTCGCAAGCATTAACTTACACTTTGTATCGTAATGGCTGCGCATTCCAGTTGTCGACTGCAAACTCCTTGATCCCTGTTCCTCCACAGTAATTTGGTCACAACTTTCATTCCTTTTTCTGTTGTGTTTTAACTTACAATGTCATTTGTTTGATCTCACTTTAAAAAATACTGGTCTGAATCAGAATTTCACGTTTGCAGTGGACATGACAAAAACGTTTGAGAATAGAAATATGTATTCCTCACACATCTGTGTCTGAAACACAACTACTCAGGCATGGACTGCGAGTTTGCATGCCTCAGGATGAGGAATCAATCACTTCAGTTTTCAGCGCTAATGTATTAATACTACCTCGTGACGATTCCCAGACTGCCTTTCTGTTGGAAAGGGAGTTGAGAAATGGGTGATGACAGATGTGACTGTCAGTAGCTATGCACAAGGCTATTGACGTGTGGTCTTTTACACTCCATTTGTTCTCCTGATACACTCTGAAAGGAACAATACCATCTGCACAATACTGCTGTGATTTGACATTCTGCATTGTGTTAACTGAGGGAGTAGATGAGCTTGGACAGACAGGGACAGACAGTGATTCTCACCCACTAAGCTTGTTCTGTGAATATATGATGACCAGCCTTTATTCTTCAAACGAAGAAATTACGAAAAAATCTTCTCTCATATTCAAGTAAATATCGTAATACACTATATATACAACAAGATTTATCCACTTTCTTTTTACCAGGGCCCAGCAATAAAGTTTTTCTGTTGAATAATTGATTTCTGATTCATGATTACAATACTTTCTCTTCTTATGAAGTAAGGCTACATTTGCTTTATTTGAAAGTTGTCATGAATTTAGAAAATAATATTTTTAAATCTAATGAGTAAAATGATCTCTGAATTGATTTTCAAAAACAAGCTACAACTATACTACTACTCTGGGTTTTGCCCTTAGAACGAAAACCAATGAGTGATATGAAAAAAATAAGCTATTACATCTTTCTCAAATTTTTAAAGCAAATGCTTCAAACAGTATGAATAAAGAATGTGAATAATTGCTCTAATTTTGAGCAATTTCTCCATTGGTGAGTAACTGCTCGGCTGACGAGCAATAGCTTACTTTTCATATGAACAAAATCGAGAATTTGCTTCTAATGTGAAGCATTTACTTTAAATTTTCAGAGCAACCTCTGTTGGTAACTCAAAAGATATTAAATGGGAAGAAGAGAGAGATCTTATACACAACTGTTGTGAGGTTTTAGGTAGTGAGTGAATAAATGATTAAAAATTTCCAATGATTTCTCCAATAATGTACGCCAACTGGACTTAACCTTCTTAAAAAAAAAATTATTTCTGCAAGTTCAATAAGGTCTTTCAGGATTTCTAACATTACAAATTGACATTACTGATGATGTGGATCTTTCAGGGACCTTGAAGTAGGAATTATTGACAATATTATGCCAACAATACAAATTCCACTAGACAAAACAATTGTTATTAGATATTTTAAGAAATTTGAGTTGAATGAGGGAGGGAGGTAATAAACATTATGTAGTTTAGGGGGAATGTTATTTATATCCCAGAAATCGTAAAAGTATTTGTTGAGAAAATTGGTATGTTTGAACTAAATTAAAAGTGTGTGTTTGTTATAAATCATCTAAGGAATTGAAGAATTTCTGGCTGTGATAATTTATTAAAGTGTGAATAGTATACCACTTAACTTAAGACAGTCAACACCAACAGGAACAAGGCCACGTGATAAGGTAGACAAAACAGATGAAAATCCACCAATCATAACAGATCAGTTAAGAGAGCAATTACTCAAAGAGAAGAAAATGTTCCAAGTTTTACAAAACTTTTTATTCATAAGAAAAGAAGCAAATGCTTATTAAAAATAGTTCCTACTTGTACTTGTGAGCATTTGCTCTGGAGTACTTATTTTTATTCAAATCACCCAATAAGTAGAGTGCACTTTTCTAGTAATTTTCTCAATAACTAATTGAATGCGTTTTTCTTGAAAGTGATAAAATAGCTTATTTTATTGATATATAAATTTCGTTTTATTCAAAAGAATCTGATAAATCAGGTTTTAAATATTAAAAGCTCATACTAAAGCACCTCAATATTTTCACCTTCCAAGTAAGAAGGTTGACATCAAATCTCAACAAAATGTTTAACATTGAATTATGACCGATTTTTTTCACTTGATATAATGTGGAAATATACCTGCATCAGGAATTGTTAGTAATGATGCAACAGCTCTCATGGCAGATCTCTTCAGTTCATCCTGTTTCTCATATTCTTGCTTCACAGAATTTGCTTTCACTTTCATTGTACAAGTATTACGAAGAGGATCCACTAAACGTTCCAATCCTGAGAAAAGAAAATTGTCATTCACCATAAATAAAATAATTTTAACAAATATCTTGAAATGTTAATTTTTAACAGAAAAAGAAATTATCAACCAATATAGAACAAATCTTCTCTTCCAATGAACAGTTAAAATGCAACTTGAGAGATATGCACAACATACTGTACTCTTTTGACCTCTCCCTCGATCTGACTGCATGTATAGGATTTGCAATGCCTACACTTACAATCAGAAAAAACAGTAATTTAAAAGTACTTTTATGTTGGCAAATGTTATAAATTGAGGCACAAGGGAAGAATGTTTTGCTTTGAAGTGTAACTTATTTTATATTTTGTGATAGAACAAAAACAAAATTCAATACCGTGTTCTCTTCAAAAAACATAATTTCAGTCTAGTAATCTTCATTAACATCAGTTTGGTTTTTTCCTGAAAATGGACCTAATAAGATTATAGTAAGTATAAGATTAAGTATAATAATTTTCCAAAAGACTTGAACAAATACTCCAATGCAGATCAAGTACCAAGAAACTTCAATACAACTATAATAGTACTACAAAGACACTTCTTTGAACACATAAAATTGTCTGAAAAGAGGTGTGATGTGGACACAGTCTAGGGTGAATATAAAGAAAAATAATTACGTTGCAGCACTGCAGTTGGGCTGAGTTGTGCAAGACGGGCAACCATAAGGTATGTTAACATTTTTATGTCATAATGGTCTTTCAGTCCATTTTCTACATGATTCAGGAACTCAAAAATGTCCAACCGATCTAAGCATGAATCCAGCAAGGTGTACATGCATTCAAATGCTGCTTTGCGAATGTCTAATCCATCATCCACAGTATGTTTAAAAGGACCCATTTCCACTTCTCTAATTAGTTCTTTCTGTAAAAGGTCATAAAGATTATAAATTGTAATTTTTTAACCAACAATATGAAATTTTTACAAGAAACACTTACCCTAACTTTGGTTTCACTATACAACTGAGGTAGAACAGTATCTAGAAGATCACGAACAAGCATCGGCTTGTTGTGAGCAGCAGAATTGAAAGCTACCAAGGCCACTCTCCGAACATTCAAGTCAGGATCCTGTAAAGTACTTAGGAACTGACCAATACATTGCCTTAGCAAAGGGTCTATTGCTTGAGGCTGAAACCAAAAAACCAATATGAAATTTTTTAGACAAAAATTAGAAGAAGAATCAAAGATAAAAATACAGCAAAAGACAGCATGCAAGCAAAAACTTTGTCTATTAGATCACTGATCAAAATGTTCAAAAAAACTTATTTTCATGTTTAAAGTTTAGACTTGGTTCACAGCATCAGTCACGGATTACATAGTCACACTCATTGAATAAAAACAATTGATGATCAAGTACATTAAATATTTATTTAGTTATATAGCTGAATTTCCTAAATTAAAATGTATTGATAATAAAGGAAAATAAGTTGACAACTTCTTTTCATTATTCATGATGCTTCCAAGCCTAAAGCTCTATCATCATGCAGTCAATATACTCCTAAGTCTTTGTCAAATGATGATGATGCTGATATTCAAAGCATCTCACACTTTTCTATGAACTTAATACAATTGATACATTCTTCCAAAAAACCATAGGAAAAAAACAACTATAATGTATATTCAAATAAATTACCTGATCTGAAATTGTGAACTTCACAGCAGTAACAACAGTAGTTCTCATAAGAGCAGATTCTGAATTTAGTGACTCTTGGAGTTGGGGCAGTAAAGCAGCTGGATCTATAAGTGTCAACTTGCCCAAACATTCCGCAACAACATTGCGAGTACCTTCCTCACTGCATTCACAATGTAAAAACAGCTGTTGCCAAATGGCAGGAACAAAAGGCTGCAGGAGTTGAACTCCACCGGGAGACCCAGACTGACATGAAATGATCTGTGAAAAGTAACAGCTCAAAATAATTGCAGCAAGAACAAAACTAAAAGTTTTATTTTGTTTGGGAAAAATACATTTCTTATACAAAATGCTATCAAAGACATTATTTTGGTAGGAAAGAGTGCTGACCGAAATGAATTGATGACATAACAGTTTAATTAATTTTACTGATATTTTTATTGTTTTAGTTACACTATTGAAGTGTGAGTTCAGTGTGTAAATAAACAAATGAAGTACTCCAGGACAAGTGGAACTAATAAAATTAAAAGTAAAGACTATTAATAGCTTCACTTCAGAACTTTTTTGAATGTTATAATGATCAAATGATAGCTTACACTCCAGTGATAAACAAATGCTTTATGCTCTCACTTTTATTAAATTGTCTGAAAAAGAAAAAAAAGTTATCTGCTTTAGGTTCCACTTACCCTACTTCATGTGTTACAATAGTTCAATAAGTCACTTGAAGTTGGGTTAGAGGATTCATGACAACTGAATGCTCACAAATGTATTTTTGGCTACAATGCAAGAATGATTATGTGCAAATTTTAGCAAACAATCATCCAATGCAATGGGTAATGAAACAAAAATTTGCTTTCTTTGCCCCACCCTCTTATGTTGATGGCTTTGGCTCTTCATGTGATGTGTCTGTGTGGAAAGTAATGATTGCCCTACTTTTGACACACTTGCAAAAATGGCACACATCAACTTCACTATCAGAGTCCAGTTCAAGCCATTACATCACATTATGTATAGACAACTCCCAGGCAAGCAACATGGAACGATGCACTCATTCAGCAGCAACCTCCAAAAATGCTGCTGAATGCAAATAATAGATTCAGGCCTGCTGGAATACTTGGGACAGTACAAGGGAGATCACATCAACAATACTGTCAGGAGCTGCATGGTGTAAGTACCAACAGCCATGAAGACACAGCCCTCATATCGAACAACCTGATGCTGGAGGGATGTCATCTGGCCTATGGTGTGATGTGATATGCAGCCACCATTGTTGATGAGTACCAGCCCAGTTCTCTTGTGCTCCACATTTCATCCGACCTCACCTCCCCCTCTCTCTTTCTCTTCTGTCACTTCACAACAGCAAAAAACAAAGAGCTTATAATAAAATTCTTAGTAATGTTTCACCCAGCATGCCCCATTCTCCCCTCAATCCCAATGCACCACATTTGGCCAATACTGCCAATGATGACTATTCCTGAAGACCACCAGCTTCCAGGGTGGAACACTATATCTATCCCACCACTGCCACCAGATGGAAAGGAATAAACAGATAAAGTTTGGGCACAACAGAGTTTGCTTCCTGAGATTTGGGAAGCAGCAGACCCCAATGTGTATCATAAAAGGAAAGAAAATGTTTGCAGAGCAGTTGTTACTGTTGAACAGCAGAAGCAGTTATGGAACACATTTGGGAAAAAGTATTCAAAGGTGTACGAATATGTTTGCCAAGGATAACAGAAACATCGGTGAAAAAGTGAATAACCATTAGGAATAGAACAGAATTAAAATAGTTAAGCAAGTAATTTTGGAATAACCATGTGTAAATGGAAGGTGAAAGGAATCTGGTAGTAGCCAAGATATAATGGCTTTGCTGGGTTGAAAAGGAATTAATAGAAAACATTATGAACAAATAAGTTTTGTGATAAAATAAATTTTTAGCCTACACATTTCAAAGCTGAACGTTCTCCAAATTTTAAGGATGAGTCATGTGTGACCTTAATGAATGGGAATATTATTAATGTTTTGTTGATTAAATGTTAAATTGGTTTATATTGTTGTTAATTGGATATATTTCAATTTTTGTGTTACATAAACATTTGGGAAGACAAGATGTAAAGATAGCTCACTGGTTGAAATTTTAAAGTAGATTAAAATTTTATGAAATGGTAGTTATATTTGCTGAACCAAAACGCTGCTGAAGAAAACTACACAAAATGGTTTTCCAAAATTTAGCCAGTACACAGCTTACGACTAACAAATGAAATACTCTCGCATAAAAATGCAATTTTAACAAAAACATGCTTCATAAATACTACAATATCATAATATAGTATATATTGAGTTCAACAGTTCTTTACATTCCAAGAATATAAAAAAGTTGCTGTTCAATAACGCAACATGGGAATAAAAATATTTCACGGTAAGCAGCCTCTTCCATAGAGCCTTGTAGTTGCACTTCAGTTGTGACACTATGAGAATTCAGACAGTACACACAGTATGAGAATGGGATAAAACCAAGTATTTCTATTTTACAGTCAAAACTGAAACTGTTTCAATGGTTTATTAATTTTCCCAAGGTCCCGGGTATCCCACGAAACCATAGACACCTCTCACATTGCTGGAGGGTGTAATGTTTTCTTTCAATTTTTTCACTTATTGGAAATTAGTAAAATAAATAGTAGTAAGCGTTTGTTTCATGTCATCCATTTCAATTTCATGAAAACTTGAGTTGAATACAAAAGAAATTCAGTTAGAATAATTAACGATGGGAAAGTTATATAGTTAGCCAATTAGATATTATAGTCATTTAATTATTTATTTACTAAAAGAAAGCAGTATGGCAAAATGCATATAGGACTATGTTAGCACAGTGGATGTCATTGGCTTCCCGAGAGGAAAACCACCCTTGGTAATTGAAGTTCATAGTGTATTCAGCCATTTGGCATGTTCCTCATCAAACTTCTGTTTCAAGGACAAAAGAACTGTGCAAAAACTGTGAAAAAAGTGTGTGGAGGGGAGAAGTGTGTGTGGAGGAAAGTGTGTTTGTGGCTGTAGGAAAGGTGGTGTGTTGTGTGAGAGGGAGGAAGTTGTGTGTTTGTGTGTGGAGGGAAAGTGTGTTGTGTTGGCAGTTAGAAGTTGTGCGGGGTTGTGGGAGGGGAGAAGTGGTGGTGTGTGGTTGTGAGGGGAGAAGTGTGCGTGTGTGTGTGTGGAAGAAGTGTGTCGGGTGGTGGAGGAGAAGTGTGTGCGTGTGTGTGTGTGGAGGGAAAGTGTGTGGCGTGGTGTTGTGTGGAGGCGAGAAGTGTGTGCTGTGTTGTGAGGGAAAGTGTTGCGTGTGTGTGTGTGAGGGGAGAAGGTGTGCGATGTGTTGTGTGGAGGGGAGAAGTGTGTGCGTGTGGTGCTGTGGAGGGAAAGTGTTGCGTGTGGGTGGAGGGGTAGAAGGTGTGCGTGTGGTGTTAGGGAAGAAGTGTGCTGCTGTTGTGATGTGGAGGGAGAATGGCGTGTGGTGTTGTGGAGGGAGAAGTGTTGACGTGTGTCTGTGTGAGGAGAGTGTGTGCGTGTGTGTGTGTGGAGGGAGAAGTGTGTGCGATCGTGTTTGTGGAGGGAAAGTTGGTGTGTGTGGAGGGGAGAAAGTGTGTGTCGTGTGTGGAGGGAGAAGTGTTGTGTGTGTGGAGTGAGAAGTGTGTGGTGTGTGTGGAGAGAAGGTGTTGTGTGTGTGAGGGGAGAAGTTGTGTTGTGGGAGGGAGAACTGTGTGTGTGTGTGAGGGGAGAAGTGTCATGTGTGTTGGAGGAGAAGGTTGTGTGGGTGTGTGAGCGGAGAAGTGTGCGCTGTGTGTGTGAGGAGAAGTTGGCTGTGTGTGGGTGGAGGGAAGAGTAGTGTGCGTGTGTGTGTTGAGGGAAAAGTGCTGTGCGTTGTGTGTGTGGAGGGAAAGTTGGCGCTCTGGTGTGTTGAGGAGAAGGGTGTGCGTGTGTGTGTGTGAGGAGAAGTGTGTGTGTGTGGGAGGGAGAAGTAGTGTGTTGGTGTGGAGGCGAGAAGTGATGTGTGTGTGTGAGAGAAGTGTGTGGTTGTGTGGAGGGAGAAGTTGGTGTGTGGAGGGAGAAGTGTTGTGTGTGGGAGGGGAAGAAGTTGTGTGTGTGCTGGAGGAGAATGTGTGTGTTGGGGAGGAGAAAGGTGTGGTGTGTGTGGAGGAGAAGGTGTTGTGGGGAGAAGTGTGTGTGTTTGTGGAGGAGAATGCGTTGTGTGGGTGTCGAGGGAAAGGTTGTGGGAGGAGAAGTTTTGGAGGGGAGAGGTGGTGCTGGGGAGAAGTGTGGTTGGAGAAGTGGTGTGGGGAGATGTATGTGAGGATGTCGTGTGTGTGGGGGGGATATGTGGTGTGTTGTGTTGGGGGAGATGGTGATTGTGTGTTGGGAGATTGTGTGGTGTGTGTGGGGAGATGTGTTGTTTGGGGGAGATGTTGTTGTGTGGGGGGATGGATGTGTGTGTGTGGGGGGAATGTGGTGTGTCGGGGAGAGTGTGTTGTGTTGCGGGGAGAGTGTGTGTGTGGGAGATGTGTGTGTTTGGGGGGAATGTGTGTGTGGGGCAGATGTGTGTGTGTGTGGGAGATTGTGTGGTTGTGTGGGTCGTGGGGAATGGTGGGGGGAGATGTGGTGTGGGGAGATGTGGTGTGGGGGAATGTTGTGTCTTGGAGATGCTTTTGCTTTTTATCCCTATTATTTGACTCCAAAAAGTAATTTTTAATATCAATGTCAAAAATACTCGACATCCTAAATCAAGTCAAGAATAGGGACATGTCTGCTATTTTCAAAAAATGATAAATGATTTTAGAAAATGTTTTTAACACATTGTTTTGCGTTTGATGTTGATAGGTGTGCTTGCACATCGTTGATATTTTATAAAGAAGTTTTATTAAAAAAAGTCAAAATTTTCAGAAATCAAAGAGAAAAGTCCACAGAAGGGGGAAATTTTTCATTTTAGGAGTGTCTCACTTCAGAGTAGTAAAAGTGAGAATCCAGTACACCCTCAGAGAATAATAACTACAATGAAGAGCTGTGAAGGGGTATTGGAGAGGGAGGAAGGTAAGAAGACGAAGTAAGTGTCTTCATATAAATGCTGTAAAATTATGAATAAACACTTGCATAGAAATTGGATGAGACTCCTCCCCATCAACTTTCCTGCAGTTCCATCCCATGCAAATGGAATATCTACAAAACAGTGGGTATTTCACTTGGTTGCACATGCAAACTTTGCCGACAATTTTATTTTTATGGACAAATTGAAACTTTGCTTATTTTCAAGTTTAGAATGAGGAGCGGACCTTAATCCTTCAAGATTAATATAAAACATTGACCCTGTACAACACACAATTACCTAGGTATTTTATCTGATAACACTTAAGGAAAGTCACCTCAAATCCATTGGATGGGTATATAAGGGTATCTTATATTGGAGTTTCTGGAAAGCACTCATTTTGTCACTTAAATATACAATTAAATTCATATTGCCGCTTCATCTCATTTCACTATGTTAATACCTTTTTAAAAACTCCATATTGCTACACAACGAACATCTCAGTACTCAGCAGATTCAATACCATCTCCAATTGTCACACCCTCACTTGAAAATCAAACTTCCCTTGTTCCTTCTATTATGGATTTCCTCTTCGACTGGTCAGCATGTACTACCAGTTTAAAGAACTTCCATAAGTTGTACTAGATTCTCTACTTCAACAGAGTAATGTTACCCCTATCAAGACAAATGATCACTAAGCAGAGCACTTGAAAATGACTAAGTAACAGAAATTGCATTTGCACAACTATATGTTCACCCATCCACACATGCATGAATGTAAGCAAACACTCACACACTTCCTCTCCTCTTTAACAATAAAGTTTTAATTCTGATTATATAGGTTTGGAAATTTTGATGTTTTGATGCCACTGTCACCTTCTTAGTCATTATTAGTAAAAACGGAAGATAACTTAAGGTGATGATTATTTTAACATTTCCTACTTGGAAGAATTCCTGAATACTCGATAAAAACTACTTCCCCTTTGCTTTGTCTTTAGACTGCACTGAGGGTCTTTGCCACATGAATTTGAAAATGAAATAAGAAAAAAAATCTGGCATGTAAGCCACTTTTTAAGCCTTTTTTTAAAATTTAATTTTAAAAAAAGAAAAGAAGTATTTATTTAAAAAACGTAAATGCTGTGTTAAAAAATGTGAAATGGAGAGGGGGTGGATACCAAATTTGATGGGCTGTTTCTGTGCATCTGCCAGAGCTTGACATTTTGTTACTTTCAATGCAATGAAAGCGTGGCTTCTTTTACCATGGTTTCTGTCATGATTTCAGAGTAGTTGAGTCAATATGTATCTTAAAAGTTGATCTACTGAACATGGGGAAAGTGGGGTGCAATTTACACTGCAAAGTTTAAACTTGGCAGAGTGAAGTTCGCTGAACAGTACAGGTATCGGACAGCTAGGAGGAAGTTCGATGTTGATGAGAAGAATGCGAGGCAGGTGTCAAGACAAAACTGCTTTGGAAAATACCCACCTTATAAAATGTGCATTTCGTGGCAAAAGATCCATAAGTAGAAGAATTGTTGGAATAAATGGCCCAACAGTTTTGCCATTTCCTGAGGGATGCTTCAGTTGGAGGGCACCACAATTGCCAGGAAACTCTGAATCCCTCGTAGTGAATTTCCAGCCAGTCACAGGTGGGTGTGGCTGTGCATGGTTAGATGTGGACTCTGTGGTGTCAAACAACTAAAGCTCAAAGAATGCTGCAAGCTTATGAGGAAAAGCTGTTAATATTTCAGAGGTAAGTAATCAACATACAGAAGTAGCATGATTACATCCTGGGGCAATTGGGAAATACAGATCAGATGCCACTGTAGTTCGATATGCCTGATGCTATCACAGTGCATCCCACGGGCAAGAGAAGTGTTCCAATAAGAACTTCGAGAGCAAAGAAACAACTCTGTAGTTACGCTGATGATAACAACAGATGACCACAAGTTGCCACCATATGTTGTTTTCGAAAGGAAAACTATGCCAAAGGAAAAGTTTCCTTGCAGGCTAGTGTGTGTACAGGAAAATGGATGGATGGATGAATGAAACCCTTGTCCTAGGCTGGATGAGGCATGTGTGGTTATAGCGGGCTGATGTGCTGCCTAAACAACAATCAATGTCAGCTTTGGACAGTTTCCAGCTTCACACAACCGAGAACTTTAAAATGCAAACAGAAGGAGAACAATGGGGATCTAGTAGTAGCACCAGGTGGCATAACCAGGATGCTGTAACCTTTACACGTGGCAATTAACCAGTCTTTCAAAGTGCATATAAGATGTTCATACCGCACATGGGCACAATGAACTGAAGCCACGACTCTGGTCGTATCAAGTAGCCCACACTGACTGATCTGTGTCTGAGGATTTTCAATGTGTGCACATCAACTTCAGTAAAGCTGGTCACCATAAGTTTTAAAGAGTACTTTTCGAATAAGATGGACGGGAGAGAGGATGATTTATTATGGAATGTTGCCAAAGATTGTGAAAGTGACAATGAATCAGGGGGTGTGAGTGAATCCAAGTATGTGTATTTGTAATAAATAAATTTTACTTTCAGCTTAAGATTTTGTTTTTTAACCAATGTTTGTGAGTGTGTTTCTTTTTTAAATAAAAAAATATTGGGAATAAGCAGCACCACCTTTTCAAAAGTCACTTTTGAGGAGAAAAAGGTGCACAAGCAAGTATTGTATCTCTTATTACAAGTTTCTACTGTTCTTCTTTCTCGTGCACTGTTGAAATAACAAGGAATCATTGGAAATCTCGTACAAAAGTCTGTAATCGCATTATTAGCATGTTCTACTTTATCATTTAAATTTCTCATAAGACTGCAAATATTTCAGAATTAGTCAATGTAGTATATTACTTTCTCCTTTCACATACTACAATTTTTTTTTCAAGATAATCAATTAACTTTTTTGAACATTTAATTATAACAAAATTACAACCCAGACATTCAAAATGCCCTGAAGATTACCTACGTCATAACAGTATTTAATTGATACTTACTTCTTTTAAGGAGTGTAAAAGAAGGTACTGTCTCTTTGGTTGAGCTTCGATTTCTTGTAGGACAAATGGTAAATATTGAGGCAAATTTCCAACAGCAACACTTCCTAAAGTATATGAAGCAGCTGATTTAACTTCCTCTGAAGGTGGTGAGAAAGAATTCAGAATAACTTGTTTCAGACTAGTAATACTGCTCAAGTCACTAAAAAGACAAAAGTAATTGAGAGAAAGATTACACCACTTGATACCAAGGAAGTTAATAAATTTGACTCTGGTTCCCACAAAGACAAAAATAGTCACAGAGAAACATCAAACAAAATGGCAGTTATAATGTTCTTCACACATTTAAATTAGTGCTATTCGCACCTTTTGAAAAATTACTTACATGTGACGACCTATTTCACCAATAATGAGCAAAGCAAAAATATGTTGTGAATCATTTCGAGGATTCTGAATGTCACGCATAAACTGTTCTACTACTGCAAGTGCCTCTTGTCTCCAGGTGATTGTTAAAGCAGCAACACATTTTGCAAGTGAGTGGAAAGCCTGCAAAGTTTTAAAGTACATTAAGTTTTATCATGGTTTACAAATCTTTAGAATATTTAAAATTAAAAGTCCATTATTGCACTGATTACAACTCCTTACAATTATTTATGGTTATGGTTATTTATTCATGGTGAAATGTGATACAAAGAAACTGAAATGGTGGATGAACAAATTTCTAAACAATAGGAGGAAAATTTCTTATTATACATCTTACCAAACTGTCTCCAAATAACACTACAAGAAAGAATATTTTTATAAATGCATTACAAGAATACTAAGTTCACACCATTTTACATTCCTGTTAACCCTTAAAAAGGTATGTATGATAGAGCACTTAAATTATTTTAATTAATCTTTTACAATTCTTCCAACATTCATTAAAGCAAAACTTTGTAAACATTCTAAAATGTAAATTGTGGCTTAAAGTCATGAAAACATCTCCAATTAATTGGTAATAATAAATAAATCATTGAATAATAACCTGCTTATGAAGAACAGGCATGGGGCCAGTGCCAGAAGCCATGTTGCTCTGTGTCACTGGGGCAACCAGCATCGCCAAGAGGTCTCTGTAACCTAAACCTGGGAGACCAGCCTTCACCAACGCCTGGAAGAACTCTAACATTGAACTGAGGGCAGCTCCTGCAACACAACTTTTGCTATAAAAGGTATTTAAAACTAAACAAAACAAAAATACATTTTTTGCTACATAAACATTATTTACCCTGCAGGAGAGGAGATTTTGCTAAAATGAGGATTTCAGGCAGAATCGCGTCTGACACCCGAGCAAGAGCTGAAGGATGCAATTCCGCAATGGAAGTAAGAAGCGTGAGTGTAAGCTGAGCTATGTGAAGATCAGCCTCAGACAGCAATGGTGAGAGCTCAACAATTACCTGAAAGTGTATTAACGATTTTTTACTTGGCTATACACATAACTTTAAAACCATTACTCCCAGACTAGCATTGTATGCAAGCCAACACAACAAGCAATTAATCCAGAAACAATACCTTATTGAGTAATTCTGGGTTCATTGAATTGCTGTAGTTACGAACAAGTGTGTCTAGTAGAGTTAGAGTTCCCAGTTTCAAAGCCCTTTGATTCTTGCGAAGAAATGAACCCAGAATAGGAATGGCTTCTCCCTGAAAAAAAAAAAAGAAGAGAAGTAGCAATTAAGAAACATTTTTATCATGAAAATTTAAGCTTTTAGAAAAGAAAGAAAAAAAAAAAAAAAGAAAGAAAGAAAATGAAAATAGAAGACAACCATTATTGGTCTGAGGTCAATTCGCAGAGGAGAACCAGCTACTTTAGTGAGTGCTTTAACAGTAGTTAATCGAGTTATTTCATTCCTAAGTCGATCCAGAAAAATGGGCAAGCATGTATGTAGTTCACCCTGCAAAATAAAATTTTAAAAATATATATCACACTTTTATTTATCATAAAATATAAAATAATTCCTTTTGTTGTCATGAAAGTACCACTCACTTGCAAATAATCACCCAGATTGCAAATAATTTGGCCCATACAGGAAATAGCTCTCTCCTTAACTTCTTGATCAATATCAGCTGCTTTGAGTCTTACCAAAGTACAGTGGTACAGTTCCAAAGTGAAAGGTGTGAAATCAAAATTGCTGGGGGTATCTAAATTAAACATAAAAATGGTAAACATTTCAAATTATAAGATTCTGTAAAGAAGGAAAAAGTACATTATGTGAGTAGATTTTAAAGCATCATACCCAGTGGACGAATAACTTTCACAAGTTGCTGTAAAACTAATAATGCTTCTGCTGTTATTTTGTAGAAGCTGTCACCAACAGCTGCAAGAACTGGAGGTACCAAAACAGCCATATGACTATGAAATACTTCAGGTGCATGAGAAGTAAGCAGACAATGCACAAATGCCAGAGTATCTATCTTCATATTGCTACTAGAATTTTTGTCGCTGTAATATGGAGAATATAAAAATAAACATGACGCAATCAGATTTACATTGCAATTGTTTCTACATGGTAGTCATTTAAATGAGAATTTACCCCAAAGAATATTGGATTCCAGGAATCAGAGCTGGTATATGGTTAGTTAATGCTCCTGGTAAAACTATGACTAATTCTTTTAATAATGCAAAACAATCTTGACGTGTCTTTATGCTCTTTTCTTTCATTTGGTGATGTACAGCCTTAACAATAGCCGGCACCTGCAATGGAAATACAGTGCATGAATACACTCATTTACTTTTGAATTATTGATTGATTATTTTGTCACATTCAGATACACTTTAGAATCATTCCATGAATGTATTCTTCCACCAGCCAGATACGCTCTGACACTAGTAGATAATGCCCAGTGCCAGTTCAGCAAAGACATTTGATATTAGGGATGATTTTCACAAGTGATTTAAGTTCATTCCAAAATTGACACTAAGGAAAATACTGTAAGAATTGCTACACATCATGTTGAAAAGCACGAGAATATTAAAATTAATTTTCTGATCAAGAAATTATAAGTAAAGACATGCATATCAATGGTAAATGGAGAGTCCACAATCACAGAATATTAAAGAGCATGATTAGAATATGCAAGATTTGAAAAGCACTTTTTGTGAATTCTAGCAACAAATTTGCTTTCATGCAAACATTCTTTGGTTGCATGAAAATAAAAATAGAAAGTATCAGTCCCACCATCCGTAAACCATTACTACATGTTAATTTACCATTACTACATTAAATTCATGAAATGAACACAAGCCATTACTACATGTTACTCACTGACTTCACCTACAAATATGATTTTGCAGAAATCAGTGTCAAAAAAATTACTCACATGACTGAACCTAAACATTCTTGCAGAAAACATGCAAAATCAAATTACAGAGAAGACAAAATTTGTATCATCAAAGCATGTGTGGTTAATGTATCACATCTAAAACAATGAAACTGAATTACCTGAGCTTGTAACATACAAGTGGGACCTTCTTCCTGATCCATGCTGTCAGGGTCTAGACTCACACCCACTGTTGGCCTAGTCTGCCGCAGGAGAGCCATATACGCATGAAAGATATCACTTTTAACATTTTCTTCGCGTTCTGAAAATAAAGAAGAATATTCTCCTCCAGTTATGTTAGTTTGAACAGCGTTTGGAGATGGAACAAAATACAAAATATGGAAACAAGACTGTATGAGAAAAGAACTAGTGCTAAAACAGCACATACTTTCTCACCTGTACTTTCAAGCAAAATTACACGAAAAGTATATACATTTTTGAAAAATTGTACACGATCTCATTTCAAAATCTAACTTAAAAGAACACATTTCATTAAGGGAAAAAATCTCTATCTTTGTAACAGTAGTTGTAGAACGAAATCAAAAAAAAAATATTAGTTTTGCACCATTCTCATAAACGTCCTTCAAACAACAAAATTTAATCAAAAACAATGAAGCCATTTTATGAAAATTTTGAAAATGTCTCAGGAGCTTTATGTAAAATACTTCCCAATTTTAAATATTGGTTTCAAATTCAAGGGGACGCAACATCAGCCAGATCAATCAGGAAATATCAATTTTGGAGCAGATCGGCTGAACGGTACAGTTACCAACAATGTGCACAGACAGAGACGTTTTGCTGTCATTCAATTTTTTGGTATTGAGAAACCACAAAACATGGTTTCTGACTATACCATATGTTAAAGGATTTTTTCCTAAGTTTAGCAACTGAATTTACCAACTTTTTACTTATTAGGGCCATGTAATAAAATGTTTTCTGCCAAGAATTTGCTGTTTTTTGTTGTTTTTTTGCGTAAACGATAGCGAGAAAGTAAAAATATGAAGATTGGCAAACAATATGGAAGGAGAATCAAATGAAATTAAAAGCAGAAGAGACAAAAGACAAGAAAGGTGAAGGGATGAGAGAAGAGAAAGTAGAAAGTGATGAAAAGAGAGAAAGACCTATAGAGGGAGGGAATCATTGGAATGGGGAACAAAAAACATGAAGAAAAATGAACAAAAGAGAAAAAAAAAATTTTTTTCAATTCAATCCTGATACATATCATTTGAAATATTCCTTCCATATGGAAATATCGAGCAGACAAGACGTTAGTTAAGGCATAAATAAAAATTGAAAACCAAAGTTCATAACTTAATGCCATTACCTTCTTTTTTCATTTATTTACTTAGTATTCAGTGTTCATTTATTCATTCAAATTTACCTTTGAATCGTGCAATGAGTGCAGGAGATACTGTTTTGTAAAATTCAACCAGAAGTTCATGCCTAGTGGCTATGACAGCTTCCATACACTTGGCAGCAGATCTCCTGACTTTCCAGCTCATGTCATCATCATCTGAATACTCATCATTTTCATCATCATCTACTTCCTCTTCAGTTTCCATAATGACACCGTCTTCACCTTCTTCTCCCTCATCATCGTAGTTATAATTTGGATCATACGTTATGTATTGTAGGCACAAATCTGTAATCTATAGGAATGTAAATTAGTAAATATCAATGTCGAACATTCTTTCCAAAATATTGTTAGTACCAGGTAATACATTTTGGATTTCCACAAAGACTAGGTAATGGCTGACTTTTCTCACTAAACATAGCATTATGTTTTCTGAAACTTTTGTGCTCCTACCTAACCTTATTTCGAAGGTAGTCAGTAGGCACAAATATAACAAAAACCAAAATAGCTATACAATGTGAAATATTAATATAGTGCAACAACAGTCCAATAGTGTCAGAACACATAGCATTTAACTATATACTCAAGCATAAATCAGGCCTCATCACAAAGGCTTAGACAACTTAATAATTACATAACATATATGATTATCTACTATTGCATTTTCCTTTCAGATTTCTTTACACTAACTCAATATCTATTTTTTGAAATCCATTGAACCTTAACAAAGGAATTGATAAGGCAAAACCTAGGCGGAGAGAAGATTGACAATTAACTAGTCTCAAAATCATTAGCCTTTACAAAGAAGTAAAAATTAAATGCACACTATTGTATTACCTACATGTTTTTACCTAGGTACATCAGTAGGGCTTAATAGGACAATAAATCTGAACTCCAAATAGCTTATCTTTCTTAGGGCTAACCTTTTCTGCTTCTGATTCTTAAGAAATAATGCACTAAACATAAAATTCTGTAGTTTAAGCTCTTAAGACTATTGTTACATAATTTCTATCAACACTTGAATCCTAGCTTAAAACTGAAATTACCTTTCAGACAAAGGATTTGCACTTACAAGCTCACTACAAACTACAAAGTGAGATTTTATTAATCAAGTTTAATAAACATGGACACAATAAGAATATATGTAATACTGTAATCCATATAAGTAATTCTAATTTTTATCCCGAAATTTGTAAAAAAAGGAAAACAAATATTTAAAAACTCACTTTGTTTCTTATTGCTATGACAGGAACAGAAAAGGGTCAAGTTACTGTGAGCTGGATCAAAAGTGTTTCAAAAAACAATTCAAAAAATATTACAGAGATTTTCAGACTAAGAAGGAAGGTATTAGCATTTAATAGTTTAATACCGACATTTGAATATGTATGACATACAATTGTATTTTGAACTGTATTATCTTCCTTATGAAAAATAAACGAACCTACAGAATCAAGAAAAGCATTTTACTCATGAAATAACATCATTCTGCTAATTTCAGAATTACAATTGAAACCAAATAAACTACCTAAGACAAAATGAACGTTTAAAAGTATTGCAAAGTACAATGGACTGCAGAAGTCTTTCTGTAACAAAATCATTAATTAAATAAGGATAAGTTTTTCAATTACACAATTCACTGCAACCAGCAAGAAGTGAAGACAAGATTTGGTTACATGTTCACTGAATATTTAAGACTTTTTTAATTTCTTTTCAAGTACTCAATCTATTTCCCAATGCCTTTCAATGAATATAATAAAAACATTTCAACATAATACTTACTGCACTAATATGTGGAGTTATTTCCTTTGGACAACGATGAACAAATGCTTCAAAGGCTTGAAGACAATACTCCCTCAATTCATCATCTTCTTCACGACTATACTGAACTATTAAAGGCATAACTCTCTCAATGTGTTCACCAAATCTGTGTCCAGCTTGCCGGCTAAAAAAAGGAAAAAAGAAATACTTATCTATTTCCAAAAGATATTATACTTGATTAGACATTATAAATAAAGACCATACCAAATAGCTGCAATGCATTGAATGTAAGTACGAGTTGTTGAAGTGTTTGAGTTACGTGACAAGCCATCCAAAAGAAAGTTAATTAGCTTTGCATACAACTGATGATTACAAGACATCACCAAGTGGCTCAGAGCTACAATTGTCCTGCAACAAAATGATATAATTGACATGAATAGTATAAGTAATTTTATTGTTAAAATATCAATGAAAAGTGTCTGCTTTGAAAAATTGTGTGATAGGAAGTAAATCAGATAAAAAATGATTCAAGTACATCCTCTCATTAATATTTGTTAATAATCTAGTGAAATAAATTTTCACACCAAAATATGTGAGATGTGTTTTGTATTAGAAACTTACTTAAATTCAAAATAAAACTTTTTTCAATAAACGATCTTGCTTAATAATTATTTTCATTACGACTAATATCAACAAAAAATTCTCGTTACTATCTAGCAAGTATCTTGAAATCAATCAAATATGACAGAAGAAATACATTTGTTAAAACAGAAATTGTATGGTAATATTTTAATGATATGATGAATAATTTTCAACAAACCCATAACAGTTGACAATAAAAGTATATTTGTTTATTTTCAGTATTCCTGAATGATGATTTTCAATGTTAATTGGAAGATACTGTAAACTACGAATATCATCCATTACTATTATTAATAGTATTTTCATACTTTTTTCTGATAAACACTAATTAAAGAACAGAATTTCAGAACAATTTTTGCATGATTCACATCAAGCAAAAATGGTAATTTAAAATATATTTTGCCAAACAAATACTTTTTGTACAATTTCAAACCATAACTTTGTTATAACTTCCTAAATTTTGAATTTTAAGTTTGTTATTCTCTACATTATAAAATTTGTATTTATTTCTGTTTTATACATCGATAAGTTTCCTCTTAAAAAAAAAAACAAAAAAACAAAAAACATTCCAAACACCATTCTGCCAAATTAAATTAGAAAATGTTTCAAATCATTTCAAATATTGTAACACACTAATCTTCAATAGCATGAATGCAAGAAAAAGTAAATGTGGAAACATAAAATACATATATTTCACCTTTTTCTCACTGCCTGTCGAGGTGATGACAGCTGAGGTAGCAATGCCGCTAAAATAGTGGTATGAAAACTAATCAAAAGCCCTCCAAATCTTGACAGAAGGTCTGCAAGAATATCTAAAGCTTCAAGCTGAACTGAAACATCTTCTTGCTGCCAGTAAAGAATATTTATTTCAAATGGTTAGAAGTGTAACAGGAAACAAACATAATTAGCAATGAGAAAATAAATTTAAAAAAAACAAGCTTAAATGAATTTATTTACCTTGTCAAATGTAAACCCACTTTTAACTTCTGGGATACTATTTTTCACACAATGTCTTTTGGGATAAGGAATTGGAAGACTCTGTGGGATAATTGGGAGCAAGGTCATGGGTTCTTTCACACAAATGGCAAATGAAAATTTGCAAATAATAATTAATGAGACCCCAAAAAATATGTATCACTTATAGCAAGGACATAAGAAAATCTAACATACCTTTTCTATAGCACTACTTAGTCGGCCTGTGATGCGCTTACATACATTTGCTGCCAAAGCACTAGATGCTAAGGGCAACTCGCTAATCACAGTTTTTAATCCAATGCTTGATATATCTCTTAACTGTTCTTTCTCTGAAACCATGTTTCCACACAGTGCATCCACTATTGTTTCCACTTGATATTCTTTTACTTTGTTGACCAATGGGCCTAAGCTGATAAAATTAATAACAGAAATGTGAAGTCATCCATGACATCAAGAATCTTTAACATTCAAACTAGTGGTTCCTTACCATTTAACAGCTAAATTTTGCACCTCTCCATTTTTATCTTCGAGAAGGCGTAAAAGCATTTTTACAACTTTTCTCTCAGAATCATCATCGAGTTTAATACTATCTTTTTGTAACTCTGACATCAAATCATTGGTGGCCATGAAGCGGAAATCTTTATCACTGGAGGTCATCTAAATAAATTAATTCATTAGTAATAAAACTGTCAAATGTGCTTGCAGAAAAGAAAAGGTGACAATTGTCACTTTACACCAGTTAAAGGTGGAAAAAATACTACAACAACTGGAGGGTATATGTTGTATATTATAAAGACCAATTACCACAATATTAGGCACTGAAAGCATATCCAGAATGAAAATTATGCATGGACTACAAACACAGAATGATTATAAGGCAACTTACCTTCTCCAATAAATTGGCAATTTGATACGACACACTCGCCATTCTGCTGCTCAAATATAGATGAGACTGAAGAAAATAATTCCCTTAGTGCAAACAAATCGTCGGATGTACTATCCGACTTCTATTTAAACAAAATCTTGACAATTAACCGGCACTTCAGCAACTAATTGTTCCATTAGGGCCAAAGAGTTTAGGTTTCAGTCACTCAGAAAGGAAAGGAGCAAGCTTCATACAGACCTCGGAGATGATCCACTGCGTTCTGTCTTGAAAATGACGCAGTCTTTGGCACCCAAAGAACACGCATTGAGCAACCGATAGCTACATTCATTATCAATCTTGATAAAAGAGCCGAAGGAGATCCGAGTGTTAAACAAATAATTTAAATTATTGGTAAAATGGTAAAATTTCTAAATGTATAAAATTGATAAGTACTTTTTATTGTCTAACAAAGTACTTGACAAAATTGGGAGTAAATGTTACGTGAAAAATAATTTTAATGTGCTATAAATATTTTCTGAAATATATGGAAAGATGTACTAAAACTCAAAATAATCACTGTCAACTTTTCAGGTTTGCCATTGTGTATATATGAAATAAAAACGGCCTCCCTCGCCAGTACTCTTTGTGACGTCACAATAAACACGCGCGGTGGTTTAAATCGTTTTGCGTGAATGAAATCAGTTTCTTTCAGTACACTGCATCACAGCTTTTCATAATACACATTCAGTACACTGCATAACATAATTTTTTATATTATGAAAATTAATGAAGGAATAAATGTTATGTAAACAACTACACACCTGAACTACATGTTTTTTAAGTATTCTACAAATATATACTGTTATATGTAAAAACAAGAACTGAATTTCAAAATAGTTTACTTGAAGAGAGTCTAATAGAAATTACTTTTAATACCAAAAACTTTTGATTTTTTAAAACATGATTTGTATGCAGTTTTTACTTAATGATACAAAAATTTATGAAGTGTGTTTTATTTTCTAACAAATTATTTGAAAAATTGGGAGTAAAAGTACATCAAATGTTAATAATTAATATTATATTTGTTTATTTTTTAATGTTTGTACTCTTCCTGACAAAATAACTTTTTAACTCTTTTCTAATGTAAATATTGTGTTAGTTGAAATTACTGTATAACTTAAAATATTTATGTATACTTTTTTTCAGTACAGAGAAAAATTATACTTTTTAAGCTGTTAAAACAAATATTTTCTTAAAGAAGTTGAACAGTTATATAGACTTTTGATATCTGTTTCATGATAAGAGATGGCATTTTTCTTAATTATCATTATAATTTACTAACAGTAGTTTAGTAGAAGTTGCAGGAACTTGTTGAATGACACTGCACAAGTCAGATTATAAATCCCGAAGACTTTAGACTCCCAAATAAAAACTTAATAATAATAATAATAATAATAATAATAATAATAATAATAATAATAACAACAACAATAACAATAACAACCAAATAATATTAATAACTTAGGGATTTTTTTTTAATATAAGAGAAAACATTTTGTATCTTATGATCACTGAATTTATTTTATTTGTGGAATAAAATACATATGGAGAATACATTTTGATATGGTAAATCTTCTAAGGAATGTCACGTGTTATTAATTTGTAAAACAGGTAATACAATTCCTGTACATGAAGGTCTGACCATATATTATATCTAATGAAAAAAATTAAAACATGTTTGGAGAAAGGAAAATTTTCTAATAAACACACTTCTATGAAGTGATTTTAAATATTAATATTGAGCATCAATATGTCACATTCCTCTTTCTGAATCATTACAATTGAAAGGTACGTACAATTCTTTTAGATATATTCTACTTCTTACATGAATGAAATTTTCAATGTGACATATAAAGGCTAATATAAGAATGTAGTGAAAGTCTTTTTTAGTAAAGAAAATTGTATAATTGGTTTAATTAAATAGCATGAAATGGATTCTTTAAACATATATTCAAGAAATTTACTAGATCCTTTGATAGTATGTATGAATAAAATAATTTTTGAGAACATTTATAGAGCAAAATACAAAAATTACTCTTACTGCCAGGTGGGAAATAGGGCTAATGACATTACTTTTTGGAGTCTGGAAAACCTACAATGAACAGAAGGAATATCTGATGTTGATTTTTATCAAGCTTAATGAAAAAACAAAATTTGGTTCTTTTGTTTCACAAGTTAAACTTAATATTTAGGATTGAAGATATTCAATTTCAAGTTATATTTAAATTATGAAAGTTATAAACTTTCATTTACTTATGCCAATTGATTAGTCATTTGACAACATAATTAAAATTGTATGTGTTATTTTCAATATCCAGAAACAAAGTTGGAATGCAAGATTTGATTGTCACTACCATTATTGATAGTAATATGCAGGCGTCAATGCCCTAAGTACTAGGCCTTTTAAAGAGTGTGCCTTTAAAACCAAAATGGTATACTGTGTGCAATACTTTAGAAGAAATGATCATGGGGCACCCCCTAAAGAGTGGTCCCAAACAAACTTGTTTACTTTGTTTGTTAGTAAATTTGACTCTAGAGATAGAGTTAATAGATAAAATGGATAAATGAAACAAAACAAGAGCAGATCTGTATCTAGTGGGAAGATAAGATTAGAGAAATATTTCTCACCAAATCATGGTAAATGTTCCAGAAATTAAACAATTCAATAAATATATATTTTGCAAGAACATTATTCTAATTTAATTATGAGTAAATACAGTGTCAATAAAATGAAATCTGCTGGATAAAAAATGGAATCCACATAATTATTATATATTAATATAATTTAAAATTTTACTTTTCTGTAAAAGTCTTCTTGCGTGAATGATACAAAATATCCTTTAATATATGTGGCAACGATTTGTGATCACGGATATTAAAGTTGAACTTTTAATGCTGATTTTAATAGAGTTAACTTTTGTTATTATTCTTATGCTGTATTAATGGTCCTGGTTTTGGTTTAATTGCAAACAAATGAGTTTCTCATGACTCAAATGACTTTCAAAACATTCTTTGTTTATTGGTTTGATATTTCATCTGTAAGATTTGTCATCAGTCAAATAAAATTGATGTCATACAGGAGCAGTGTATTTTTGTCAGAATCCATTAATGAATAAATAGTACACAGCATTGTTGTGAAATGGATACAATTTTTTGAGTATTTTTAATATACATCTTATATAATAAATTTCTCTCTCCCTTTCATGAAAAATGTTATGTGTAATTATTCACATTTTTAAACAATGAGAATCTTCCATCATACCATATCTTTCATGAATTATAAAAGTGTTCTGAGCGACACTTACACTAAGTTTATTTTTATTTAGAAAACAAGTCACTTTCACTAGCAAGAGGACAGCCTGTTGTGTTGCCTGCTGATCAGTTAACTCTTCTCAAACTGAGAAACTCTGAGTTGAATGATTTTCTTCCTGCTTCATTTTCAACTAATACCCTTTGTCTCATTTAACTCTTCTGATGGTTGAAGTTGTGGAACTGGGTGTTGATGATTTTCCTGGTACCAGTGGTCTTGATACACTAGATGTGCTTACATCACTTCTCTGTGCAGAAAGAAATGATGTCATTAAGAAGGCTTTCACTAATAAATTGAAATAGTTTTAGTATATAGATGAACATTTATTACAAGGAATTGGATTGTGATGATATGTCCTCTCCTAATTGGTATATTGAGGATAATGCTAATTTAAGAAATTGTTATAATTCAGTCAACAGAAATAAATTATTATGATATTTAACTTTCTCATGAAAATTCCACAGAAATAGTCTTTTTTTTTATTTTATTTGAAAATTTGATCTTAGCATTTGAACAACTACTCTAACTTTTTTATTTATTTATTTATTTTATTTTTTTCTTGCGTCAGTGACACAATGCATTTCTTAAACCCTTGTTGGGCATTGAGTGCTTACATGGAGAAATTCTCCTTTACTTTCTTTGTAATGCCTCATCACATCGCAGTCAGTTAGCAGCTTATATCGCTTTGGCCAGGGATTTGACCCCTTTAGATTCTGGAGTTCCTAGCCAGTCTCCCAACCAGGAACCCATGAGTCTCAAAGTCCCAAGGTCTAAAAATTCGTTTAACCTCTGTGACTTCACAAAGCGTAGTAAACAAATTTAGCTCACAACGCTGACTTCCTTTAAAAATTCCTGACAGTGAAATAAAGCCATTTACAAAAATGTCTACCTGTGAAATGCTCTTTAAATTGCTTACAAAATTCATATTCTGATATCAATCTGCTTCAATTTATGATTCAATGACTGAATGCATCTGAGATTTTTAACTTTTGGAGAGTATTTTTCTTTTTTACCACAACACATTTCTAAAATGTTCAAATTTTTAATCTCACTAATACTTTCAGGCATTGGTTTAT